CAGTGGTCGGTTAACCATGCGTTTGGTGGCAGACAGCGATGGGCTATCTGCCACTGCAGGGAGGCGAGCTTGGACGGTTTGGTTTTGCTGTCCTGAAACCACTTGATTGGAGTGAGCCTCTTCCTGGGAACATTAAGGTGCCTCCACCATCGGTCACAAATAGTGTCTGTAAGGTTGCGCTTGGGCCTCAGTAATAGATACATCGCCTTGATGGACATGGAATGGAGGTATAGGTGTTCCGGGGGAGGGGATTGGTCTGGCACCGCCACCTCCATTCCTTTGGATCCAAGGGAAGCTGATGAATAGGCAGGTTGGGCTTAAAGGCCGGCCAGGTGTCCCCCCGTCCACAGGCCCAGATGCGGTGAATCCGGTCCTTGTTTATCCACCTGGTGCTGTCTGGCACGTGGCAGTGTAGACCTGCATTGGATCCAAGGGAAGCTGATCAATAGGCAGGTCGGGCTTAAAGGCCAGCCAGGTGCCCCCCTGTCCACAGGCCCAGATGGGGTGAGTCCGGTCCTTGTTTGTCCACCTGGTGCTGTCTGGCACGTGGCGGTCTAGCAGGGCCCTTCCTACTCCATGCACAAGGACATTATTATGATTTCTCAGTGACCACATTGTCATGGCCTGTCAAGCGTTGTCAGCTTGACACATGAGCATTCTCACAAGTCTTCACCCAACTCTCTCTCTCTCTCTCTCTCTCTCTCTCTCTCTCTCTCTCTCTCTCTCTCTCTCTCTGTGTATACAGACACATATGGAGGTATGCATACTATTGTGGCAGGAAGATTTGTCTTCTCTCTCTCTCTCTCTCTCTCTCTCTCTCTCTCTCTCTCTCTCTCTCTCTCTCTCTCTCTCTCTCTCTCTCTCTCTCTCTCCCCGTAAGTCCCGAGTCCCTTCCCGCATTGAAGAGAACCCTCACCTCCCTTTCCGCCAGCCCCGACGGCGAGATCTTGAGTGTTGCCTGTGCACCGGCCCCAAAGTTATTAGCAATGTAGGACCTTAACTCATTCTCCTCTCGGTTGTTCCGGAGGAGGAGGCGCAGTCTAGAGCTGGTCATGGGGGTGAAGCCGCTTAACGTTACGTTGTCATGCTTTTGCTGGACTTCCTTAAGGCCCACCTCCCATTTCCCTTCCCTTTTCCTGAGGGGGAGTACCAGGGTGCCGAAAAGAGCAGGGACGTCGGGGTAGGTCCCTTTTCCGATCACACTGCACAGTTTGCAATGCTTGTCCAGCAAATAGAGAGGGAGGCGAGGGGGCACTCGTTTGGTCCAGCTTCAGCAATAGGGCCTGACATCAGAGATTGCTGTTCCTGTGGGGTGTGTCCGCCTGGCCCCATTTCCTCCACTGGGGGCTGGATCGGAGGCTGCATACCAAGGACCGGCATGTCAGGTGGTGGATGTTCCCCCTGGCCCCGGTCCCCTTCCTTGGAGCCTCGACTCTCTTCATTGCCGTTGTTTCTGGGGGGGGGGAGAGGGGGTCTGCGGGCTCGGGGGGTCAGGCTGAGGTGGGGGGGGAGACTAAGCGGTTTTAGCCCCCTCAGACGGACCCGGGAGGGAACACACAGAATGAGGACCCCCCATTGGACCCGGGATGCCACACGTGGAATGGGTGCCCCTCACCGAGTCCCCAACTTGACCAGGCCAGCCCCCTCAGATGGACCTGGGAGGGAACACACAGAATGAGGACCCCCCATTGCACCCGGGACGCCACACGCAGAATGAGTGCTCCTCACCGAGGCCCCAACCTGACCAGCCCATTCCCAGCCTGACCCCCCGAGCCCGCAGACTCCCCCCCACAGAAACAACGGCAGGGAAGAGAGTTGAGGCTCCAAGGAAGGGGGCCGGGGCCAGGGGGAACATCCACCCCTGGACGTGCCGGTCCTTGGTATGCAGCTGTCTCCAGTGTTCGCTCGTTCACGAAGCCCCGAACGCGTTTGGTGTGCTACACAGGTGTACGATAGCAAGAGTACTTTGTTCTTACTGTAAGATGCTGGGCTGGCCACTTGCAGTAAGGTGCTGGGCAGTACATTGGGCCAATCATGCAACAGATAATTTCCCCGTAGCCTTGGGAGCCCTACAGAGTAAACACTCTCGCTTTCGTTGAGTGATCCAACCCATTCTTGCCAGGTAGGGCCAAACATTCTGACAAGTCTCTAGAACTGGTATATACCTTACAGACATAGCCAGGGGTTGTGACCTTTGGTCAGGTCAAAGTTCTAGGCTCCAAAAGTTACTTCCCTGTCTCTGAAAAGGCATCAGAATGTCCCTTGGTGAATAGGTACCGTCAGAACCTCACGCCCCCAGAGTCAAAAGTAGGCTCTAGGAAAGTCAACAGTCAAGCCCTACCTGGACGTAGAAATCAAAGAGTCAAAGATTTCCCAGGANGCCCTACCTGGACGTAGAAATCAAAGAGTCAAAGATTTCCCAGGAGTCAACCACGGCCACAGATCGCACACGAATCCAAAGGCTCAGAGCAGTTTCCAATAAGTTTCCAAGGTCCACTGGGTCCAGGCACGCACTGCCCACGAGCAAATCTTGGCCACACAGATTGGGAAATCTCAGCCCTTCGAGGAGGCAAACTGGATGCAGACCAGACCGAGGAACAATATAAAAGAGTGGTCTGCCCCAGCTCGTGGATTGATTCTGCCTCACACGGCTTCAGTGCATCTGCTACAGTGCACGTGCCACAGTGACGCACGTCAGTGCGCTGCTACAGTGAGTGCGAGAGGAGGCAGACAGAGAGAGTGAAAGGCTGCCATAGCTAGAGTGAGAGAGAGTGGTAGTCATAGCCTGTAGAAGGTGCTGATGCACCATATCTACAAGAGAAAGAAGAAGGAGATCTGGTGTAGAGTTGAATGCCTTGGGGGGAGTAGGAAGCTTATGTTATTGTACCCGATTGAACTTCATTCCACAATGAAGTCACACGTTTCCATACGCGCATCCAACTGCAGAGTAGACTCGAAGGAGGCGAATCCACACAAAACCGGAGAGATATATGCACAGCAGAAGCTCAACAGACAAGAGAATTGAAAAACGAAATTCAATTCCTATTCATCCCCCATTCTCCTCCAATCCAGAGTACTTCATTCCAAGAATCACAACCACGCTGTCAACAACCCCGAACAACCAATATCGAATGTTCAATGAAGTATCCAGGAGTCTTCTTCTTCCTCCTCACCACCTCATCACCCTGGCTATGGCTGCTGTAGCGGCAGAACCCCCAAACTGTCACCACATGCTAATCTGAACTAGCACCTTACAGCGCCAGCTCAGCGCCCGCACAGGAGTGCAGTGCAGGAATGCTGATGAAGAAGCAGACGAACATGCAGGTACTTCGAAGAAGGTGAAGTTCCTCGTGAGGAGGAACAACAGTTATGGCCGCCAAGTAGAAAGTTGGCAGCGTTCAAACCCAACAACACAGTCTGGTGGAGGCTCTCATGCAGCGCTGCAGAACAGCAGCAGCGCCCTTCAACCTCGGTACCAACTCCGGCTATGGCTGGACATCGATGAAGAAGACAACCATGCCAAAAATAGCGCTGTAGCACTCGAACAGAGTTTCCCCAGCAGAACGAAACGAGAAAAGACACCACTCAATTAGCCGTGCCTAGCTATTTCTACACTCGGCCTAGACCTACGACGGTCTCCAAAGGCAACAACCCAAGACTCGTCTGTATCATGATGGAAACAGGGGGAAACAGGGACCCAAACCTATGACAAGGCAAAAGGGAAAAGCCAAATGGCCTAAGACTACCAAACAGGGACTACCAGTGACAGATTCAGGGATCAAGCCCAATAGGACTCAAGGCTAACGAGCAAAACATACAGGTTACAGGCTCAAAACAAGAAAACAGCAAGAAAACAAACACGACCTGCCTAACAGTTAGTGTACACCCGCTGTTACCTGCAAGTTCATTGCACTTACCTGGAGAGCATGTCAACTGAGAGTGCTCAGCCATAGCTGCTGCAGAGAGGGCCAGTGGTTCCATGTGCTCCACATTCTTCATCCAAGCCTCAGAGGTGGTGGTGGGAACTAGACCTTGTCTAGCACCATCAAGAGGCGGGTCAGGGTTGGAGATAGCGAGGAGCAGATACCCATTGCACAAGGGTTGGCAACAAGGTGTAGGAAGCTTAACTGTTGACTGGCATCCATAGCCTCCTGAGGAAGAAAACTCCAAGAGGAGGAAGATCAGTGTTCATCATCCAGTACTGCATCCTTTTGGTGCTTGTGCTATACAGCGAGTGTGGCACTTGTGTTACTGTCTTCACCCAAATAGAACGCCCAGTCATTATACCTGTATTCGGTGCAACTTCCAATCCAGGTACGGCGATAATGACCAGGCATGCTATTTGAAGACGGTAGTGAGGTCAGGGGATGAGAGTGAAGGTCAGGGAGGCAATGTGGTCACGATTTGGAAGGAGAAGACTCCATGCTGCAGTAGGAGATTGGCATTGCTATTTCCAGTTTCCAGCTTCGTTGTGCTAGCCTGGGATAGCCAGTGCTGTAGAGAGGTTGACTTGGCAAGTGACATTCTGTGCTGAGGGGTGGTGAAGGGGTCGAGAGATACAAGCCAGTGCGGGCATTGAGGTGGTGAGAAGGATTCCCGTGGAAAAAGAGGGAGAAGCAGTCTGAACTTTGTATTAATTGTTTATTTATATACTCTTAAACTACTAGTACCTTTGCCGCTTCAGAAATGAGGGAAAACGCCAGTTCCCGAAGAATTCGGAGGCCCGGCCTGACGACCGCTGCCATTGATAAATCTAATCGGCAGCCGTCGTTTCGTTTCGGCCTCCTGAAAGGTCGGAGGCCCACTATTTTCTGAAACGACAAAGGTACTAGTGGTTTAAGATAATTCCATTTTTTCTTCACATTGTTTATCTTTCTTTACTGTCACAGTTCGCTTGTTATCATTCAGTTGAGTGGTGTGTATTCATGTGAGATTTGATTGTGAGCTTCTGAAGTTGGGCTCATTACACTTTTTTTTTGTTTCTTGTTTGCACATAGCAGGGAGGATCTGTTCTCATACTTGACTGGAGCTCGGAAACCCTCAAGCTCTGCTGCAACTGGTGGGAGAGTGAAAACAGAAGCAGCTACTTCTTCGGTGATTCCCGCTTGTGGAGAGAAGCATGGGCGAGAAGGGCACGGACCTGAAGTGGAAAAATCATTGAAGAGGCTGCATACAAGCGGCGTGGGGGTCTCGGACTCAGAGGATGATGTGACGAGGAACGCTGGCGGTGTTGGCCCCGACACTGATTTGCAGGGATGTGGATGTCTGCAGGAGCAGCATTCGGAAAGGAATGGGGCTGCGGCCGAGGCTGATGTTGCAACGTCGCGGGCTGCAAAGACGGAACGAGACCAAGGTGAAGAGGCGGGAGGTAGCTTGGAAGAAGCTGGACAGAGAAGGGACACACTGCACACGATCGATGCACTGAATCTTCGGCCAGAGAAGGTGGTTCAGAGTGCACATGGTGGGCCAGAATCATCGTCGAGCATCCAAAAGGATCTCATGCAGAGAAATGCACCAGGGACGTGTGTGCGCATTGAGGCAGCGGCTGCGGAGGACCGGGGACTACGACATGCCATGGAAGATGCCTGGATGGTCATGAATGACTCAAGAGGAGACCACGGTGAAGAGCCCAGGTATATACCTTTCTTTATTTGTAGTCATTTCTTTGCCACCCCACTTATCAGGGCAAGCATTACCATAAGAGTAAGATAAGGAAACAAAAAAAAAAGATAACCAGGGTTGCATACCTGCCGACCACGACCACCGACCGTTTTGCAGCTGACCGGTAGGACCGACCGGTTGGCGGTCTGCCGACCAGTCAGTAAACAGCCATCCACTGATTTTAAAAAAAAAAATCCGACTATGGGACTGCACTGCGCTTGCTAAGAAACTTTTGGGGATGGTGGGGGGTACGGGGGTGTTATGG